ATAAATAATAACTAATAAATAATAAATAATACATATTAAATAACGAATAATAAATAATAAATAATAAATAATAAATAATAAATAATAAATAATATATAATAAATAATAAAAAATAACTAATAAATAATAAACAATAAATAACAAATAATAAATAATGAATAATAAATAATAAATTATAAAAAATAAATAATAAATAATAAATAGTAAATAATAAATAATAAATAATAAATAACAAATAATAAATAAATAAGAAATAATAAATAGTAAATAGTAAATAGTAAATGATACATAATAAATATTAAATAATAAAAAATAAATAATAAATAATCAAAAATAAATAATAAATAACAAAAAAATATATAATAAATATTAATAATAAATAAGAAATGATAAATAATTAATAATGAATAATAATTAATAAAAAATAAATAATAAATGATAAATAATAAATAATAAATAATAAATAATAAATAATAGATAACAAATAATAAATAACAATTAATGAATTATAAATAATAACTAATAAACAATAAATAATATTTATAATACATATTAAATAATGAATAATATATAATAAATAATAAATAATAAATAATAAGTAATAAATAATAAATATTAAAAATAAATAAGAAATGCTAAATAATAAAAAATAAATAACAAATAATAAAAAGTAAATAATAAATATTAATAATAAATAAGAAATGATAAATAATAAATAATTAATAATAAGTAAAAATAATAAATAATAAATGATAAATAATAAATTATAAATAATAAATAATAAATAATAAATAATAAATAATAAATAATAAATAATAAATAATAAATAATAAACAATAAATAATAAATAATAAATAATAAATAATAAATAATAAATAATATATATTAAAAATAAATAAGAAATGATAAATAATAAAAAAAAAATAACAAATAATAAAAATAAATAATAAATATTAATAATAAATAAGAAATGATAAATAATAAATAATTAATAAGTAGTAAAAAAAATAAATAATAAATGACAAATAATAAATTATAAATAATAAATAATAAATAATAAATGATAAATGATAAATAATAAATAATAAATAATAAATAATAAATAATAATTAATAAATAATAAATAATTAATAAACAATGAATAATTAATAATAAATAATAAAAAATAAATAATAACTAACAAATAAAAAATAATAAACAATAAATATTAAATAGTAAATAGTAAATAACAAATAATAAATAACAGATAATAAATAATAAATAATAAATATTAAATAAGAAATAATAAATAATAAATAGTAAATAATAAATAATAAATAAAAAATTATAAATAATAAATAATATATAATAAATAATGAATATTAACAAAAAAAATAAATAATAAATAACAAATAATAAATAATAAATAAAAAATTATAAATAATAAATAATAAATAACACATAATAAACAATAAATAGTAAATAATAAATAATAAATAATAAATAATAAATATTAAATAATAAATAATAAATAATAAATAACAAATAATAAATAATAAATATTAAATATTAAATAATAAATAATAAATATTAAATAATTAATAATAAATAATAAATTATAAATAATAAATAATAAATAATAAATAGTAAATAATAAATAATAAATAACAAATAATAAATAAATAATAAATAATAAATAGTAAATAGTAAATGATACATAATAAATATTAAATAATAAAAAATAAATAATAAATAATAAAAAATAAATAATAAACAATAAATAATAAATAACAAAAAAATATATAATAAATATTAATAATAAATAAGAAATGATAAATAATTAGTAATGAATAATAATTAATAAAAAATAAATAATAAATAACAAATAATAAATAATAAATAATATATAATAAATAATAAATAATAAATAATAAATAATAAATAATAAATAATAAATAATAAATAGTAAATAATAAATAATAAATTATAAATAATAAATAATGAATAATAATTAATAAATAATAAATAATGAATAATAAATAATAAATTAAAAATAATAAATAGTAAATAATAAATAATAAATATGTAATAAATGAAAAATAATAAATAATACATACTAAATAACAAATAATAATTAATAAATAATAATTAATTAATAAACAATGGATAATTAATAATAAATAATAAATAATGGATAATAAAAAATAAATAATATACAATGAATAATAAATAATAAAATATAAATAATAAATAAAAAACAATAAATAATAAAAAATAACTAATAAATAATAAAAAATAAATTATAAATAACAAAAATATAAATAATAAATATTAATAATAAATAAGAAATTATAAATAATGAATAATAGATAATAAATAGTATGTAATAAATAAATAATTTGAAAGAATATCAATTGATCTTTGAATATTATTTATAATATTAGTTTAATATTATAAATTGAGAATGCACAATTTTTTGAATTAAATATTATAAAGCAAAGGAGTCAAAGCTGATCTCTGAATGACATCAGCACTAGCGAAAGAATCTGTGATACAAAAAGGAATCTGTAATTTTAGTTAAAGTTATAGCAATATTCAAGCTTATGAGCTTAAATACCAAACCTTCCTTAGTGTAGGAACCTGCGGGGTTTGGGAATAGACTTAACTTTTAAATTGATTTTTTTAGATAAACAAGTTTTCTGAATAAGTTGAAAAGAATAACATAAAATTCTAGTACTTAAGACATATACGTCACAATATTTGTAAAATGTAAATTTATTTGAAACAATAAACACTATTGAATTAAAAAATTTATTTGAAATTCAATGAGGAAAACAAAATATAATGACCTTATCTGAAGGGGATTCAAATACGTAGATGTCATAACTAAAATTAAAAAAATAAAAAAAAATGACGTGAATACTAATAAAATATTTCCCCCTTTCATGTTGTCCTTGATTATACCGAAGACATAAATAAAATATGTAAAATAGAATATCTTCAGCACAAAACAGTAAAAGCTGGGCTTTAAACAAGTGGGTCCCTCTCGCAATGTAAAAGATGCCACAGATTGGGACATAGGTAAAGATTTTGCCAAAAAGGTGCAGAATGTTTTGAATGTTCTGGAAACCATATGAAGGAATGTAATACAAAACATAATTTTCAGGTCAGTTGTGTAAACTGAAACGAGGCATACTCCACTAGATAAGAAAAGACCATAAAAACTAAAGAAATTGACAAATAAAACAATGCAAAACCCTTAAAAAATTTACGGTTGTATAATGCAAATGATACCACATGCTACAAAGAATTGATGAAATTTCAATAAAATTAACTACAATGGACAATACAACTTAAGTTTATCCAGCAACCCTGACCCGATTTCTGTAAAATATCGGCAAATAAAATACGAATTAGTACGTGTTGTTAACTAGAAAGCACGAATTGGAGGTTTTTCTTAAAGCTAGGAATATAGATGTGTGTTTATTAAAATGCTAAAGGACAACCCACCCTGGTAAAGTTGGTTCACAGTCTTAGTAAGCTAGTTAATTGGACCAAGTTATTGTTGTTACGAAAGCTACGTGAATCATTTAGACGATTGGGTTGAGGTCGACGGAGGAAAAGTACTATCGCCACCCTCAACGGACTTTTCGGTCATATGCACGATCGGCCATATGGCAAGTTATTGGATTTACAAAGTTAGAAGGTAAATGTGTTTGCAATAAACGGGCATTTTAGTGTAGGTTTAAAGTGAGTAGGTTGTGAGTGCTGGGTCCAGATATAGAAAATTTGCTGTGAAAGTTTGATTGAAAGAAAGAAAATTTGGTTCCATTGTCAGTATTTTTGTTGTTATTATTATTTATACTGTCAATATTGCCTTTGTCATTATTTTCAGTATTGTTGTTATTATTTCTATGGTTGCTATCGTTATTATTGCTATTTAACAGCACAAAATGTCAAGAATCGCGTCATTCGGAAGATAAAAGGATTCTGAATAAATTTTCTCAAACTCAAAATAAAAATAGAACATTACAAACCAGTATCATATTAAAATTATATAAAGTGCTTATCGGCAGCTAAAAAAACGTATTCTTCGTCACGAAAAATAACTGATGGATCATATGCAAAAAGTAACAAGGTTTAAGCTGAACTACTCGTATTTGCTAATCACTTCTAAGGAATTTTTCAACCAAATGAACTGAATTCTTTTGTTTGCTTAATAGGAGATTTTTATATGGATGAAAGCACTATATGGCTTTATTTAATGAAAAGGAAATTTGCCAAGCGATAAATTTGCTTAAACCGAATAAGTCCCCAGGTTTTGATACCATTAATGATAAGATATTAAGTGAATTTCCGAGAAAGGCTTGGACATTTTTGAAAAAGGTGATTATTGTGGCATTGAGGTATACAGAGTTTTTCCGAAACAGGGTGACAGAATGACTTCAGACGAACAAAAAACACCTTTTAGAGACATTTTACCTTTTGGGCCCTTCTTCTCAAGGGCCACTAATATGAAATATGGAAAAACTGTCCAATTCTTACATTTTTATTTATAACTCGAGGAATGTGACAAGCCAACTTTAGATACTCATTTTAAAATTAATGAAATTCCTCTTCAAACTGTATCCCAGTGGTCGCAAAGGGTTTTTTAGTTTTATGTAAGTATGTAACTTTCGTTTAATCGCCACGATACTAATCTGACCTTCATTTTGATATAACACAATGTGGGAAAGATTTCAGAGGTCAAAACTTTAGAAAATCAATTAGAAAAAAGTATTTTCCAAATAAAACTAATGTTTTAAATCTTTATTATGCAATATTATGCATTATTAACATGTATTTTTTTTTTCCAAAACGAAATTTACATTACCTTTTTTCTTTTTTTATTTTTAGAAAATATTTCCAAAAGTTTCAGGAATATCATGTCTACTAGGCTTTTTAAATTTTTTAAAATTTGTATATTCATTAAACTTTCGTCACTTTTATAACATTTGTATTTACGTGTTAACTATTTTTAGGAAAAAAAATATGGCACCACAATCTGGGAATGTTGAGGCATCAGTTGAACCTTCAATAGAGTCATTAAAAAATGAAGAATCATCAAAATATGAAGACAAAGGAACTCAACTAATTCACACAAGTAAGTGAAAGTGAAACAAGTGATCAAAAAAAAGTGATCCAAAAATAAATTAAAATCCTTTATTTAAATATATTTTAAATTTATTTTACACACATGTCTCATTTTCCTGAAAAATTTTCGCCATCAAGTAACATGCATCTAAAAATATTTTTATATAAATAAATTCTGGAATTTCATTTTGGTATTTGTAAACAAAAATTTCCAAAAGAGAGAAATTTTCGTTCAAAATTTATTTATTAAAAATATACATACATACATATGTATTTCCTAAAATTTATAGAAATTTAATTAACACAGACCTTTCTAATTGCCATTTAAAAGGGTACTAAGTTTGAGTTATATTACAAAAAAAAAATCAAAATCTGATGTGATCAGCACATAACCGACCGCATTGTGTATTGTCTAGTTAAATGAAAGTGTTACAGAATATTATAAAAATGTCTGTTAAATACTTCTTTCCAATTTTCAGGACATTAGTAAGCTTATAGTTAACATACTTAGAAAAATGTAAATTTGGCTCTTAGTAGAGTTTCGCTTTGTGCTATCCGAATTCCCTGAAATGCTCGCCAGTTAGTTTCGGTAACAACCAGAACTCAAATATCAAATTTCAAGAAATTCCATCAATTTGTTCTGTGGATATGGTGAAAAATGTAAAATTGGCCCGCAAATCAGTTCTCGAGCCCTGATCTTTCCAAAAATGTTATATGTTCATTGCTTTAATATGAGGAATTCATATATGAAATTTCAATGAAATTGGTTGATTATTTCTCTTTATATACACAAAAGAGTATGTTTGCCCGTAGTAAACGTCTAGTTGCCGATGCCTGATCTTTCCAAAAAATTTACATGTTCATTGTTTTAATACGGGGAATTCATATATTAAATTTCAATGAAATCGGTTGATTATTTCTCTTTATATACACAAAAATGTATATTTGGCCCGTAGTAAACGCCCAGTTGCTGATGCCTGATTTCTTCCAAAAGTTAGGAATTTTTGCGCATGATAGAGCAAAGCTTATATATGAAATTTCAAGTAAATCGGTTGAATACTTTCTTCAAAATGGTGAAAAATGTAAAATCGGCCCGCAAATCCGTTTTCGAGCCCTGATCTTTCCAAAAAATTTACATGTTCATTGTTTTAATACGGGGAATTCATATATTAAATTTCAATGAAATCGGTTGATTATTTCTCTTTATATACACAAAAATGTATATTTGACCCGTAGTAAACGTCTAGTTGCCGATGCCTGATTTCTTCCAAAACATATGAATTTTTGCGGACGGTCGAGCTGAGCTTATATATAAAATTTCAAGTAAATCGGTTGAATATTTTCTTCAAAATGTTCAAAAATGTAAAACAGGCCCGCAAAAAAGTGCAGTTCCCGAGGCCTGATGTATACCAAAAGTTGATCGATCTGTGCCATGGTGGAAACAAACTTACATATAAAATTTCATCAAAATCGGTTCAGCCGAACTTGAGATACACGCGTGCACACACAGACCGACAGACCGACAGACGGACAGACGGACAGACCGACAGACCGACAGACCGACAGGTTGCTAAAAATTGTTTATTTACACTTCCCTACTATGGAAAAGTACGTTCCCACCGAAAACTCGATATGCAAAATTTGTTGCCATCACATAACCTACCTATTGTTTACACAATACGGTCGGTAATCAATTTTTAATTGAAAATGGGGTAAACTCACCAAATTCTGAGCATATTTTTCTTTTATTAGAGAACTTTACTGAAGACATCTATAATGACATGAAGACATTTATAAGTGAAATAAAAGTGAATTGATTATAATTTAACGAATGAATCAGTAAAAATATAGTTGTTAGTTATAAGAGATCTATAAAATTGCGAAAAAATATTTTTAGGATTTCAGTTAGAAGAACCTTAAAAGGTTGTAGTAAATGCCTTTAACTACTAATTTCTGTTGTAGTAAACGAAAATAAAAAAAATCTGATGTGGTCAGCACATAACCGACCGCATTGTGTATTGTCTAGTTAAATGAAAGTGTTACAGAATATTATAAAAATGTCTGTTAAATACTTCTTTCCAATTTTTAGGACATTAGTAAGCTTATAGTTAACATACTTAGAAAAATGTAAATTTGGCTCTTAGTAGAGTTTCGCTTTGTGCTACCCGAATTCCCTGAAATGCTCGCCAGTTAGTTTCGGTAACAACCAGAACTCAAATATCAAATTTCAAGAAATTCCATCAATTTGTTCTGTGGATATGGTGAAAAATATAAAATCGGCCCGCAAATCAGTTCTCGAGCCCTGATCTTTCCAAAAAAGTTATATGTTCATTGCTTTAATATGAGGAATTCATATATTAAATTTCAATGAAATCGGTTGATTATTTCTCTTTATATACACAAAAGTGTATGTTTGCCCGTAGTAAACGTCTAGTTGCCGATGCCTGATCTTTCCAAAAAATTTACATGTTCATTGTTTTAATACGGGGAATTCACATATTAAATTTCAATGAAATCGGTTGATTATTTCTACTTATATACACAAAAATGTATATTTGGCCCGTAGTAAACGCCCAGTTGCTGACGCCTGATTTCTTCCAAAAGTTAGGAATTTTTGCGTATGATCGAGCAAAGCTTATATATAAAATTTCAAGTAAATCGGTTGAATATTTTCTTCAAAATGTTCAAAAATGTAAAACAGGCCCGCTAAAAAGTGTAGTTCCCGAGGCCTGATATATACCAAAAGTTGATCGATCCGTGCCATGGTGGAAACAAACTTACATATAAAATTTCATCAAAATCGGTTCAGCAGAACTTGAGATACACGCGTGCACACACAGACCGACAGACCGACAGACCGACAGACCGACAGACCGACAGACCGACGGACCGACAGGTTGCTAAAAATAGTTTATTTACACTTCCCTACTATGGAGAAGTACGTTCCCACCGAAAACTCGATATGCAAAATTTGTTGCCATCACATAACCTACCTATTGTTTACACAATACGGTCGGTAAAAAAATATTAAGCAAACAAAGTGGAGCTACTTCTTGAACAGTTTTTTCAAACAAAAAAATAATTTTAAAAGAAAATAAAAAGAGAAAAAATATACGACTTATTTCAAAGTTGACCCGATTGAAGCAGTTTGGAAAATTTTTTTAATGCCTTATACTTACGAGGGCAGCGCATTAGAAGGAAAAGTGAAGCGATTTTTTTCTAAAAAAAATTTTACAGCCAAGAAAAGACAAATGTCACTAAAATCTTTGCAAAAAAAATTAAAATTTGTTTATTAACAGTAACAACAAAACCGTATAATTTTGTTTAAGAACATAAATTTTACATTAATTCAGGATTTTGCTTTAATAAGTTAAGTTTAAATTTATTAAACAAATTGTCATTTCAATTTTTGCCCTTTTCGTTAACGCAATTAAGAAAACTGTAATCGTTTCCTTCTAAACATTTTGTAAGTTATAGGATTTAAAAAAAACCTTTTTATATCTTAGTGTTTTTTTTTGATTCTGAGATGAGATTAGCATAATATTATTATAACTAGTCGAGTGTGCTTGCATTACAAGCATTGCAGACAATATGTTTGTAGCTTTGAAATAATGTTCCATATTTAAGATGAACGGGCAACCTTATTTGCCAAATCACCTGTTCGCAAAAGTTCAAGCTTATAAAAATATATCTTATGTTACTAAAATTTTTTCAAACAGTTGTGCGTGTAATATTCGCTGGTTTTTTTTTTTCAAAAAAAAGCCAGTACTATGCATATAGATAGGTTTTTTCCAAATAAACAATAACATAAAACTTAAAGACTCTTATAAATAACTACAAATAGCACATAATTAAATAAATGATTAACTTCATTTTAAACTTCATTTTTCACAATTTAATTTTTTGAGTAATTTTTTTTTTAATTTACCCTAATTTGAAGACTTAATATAATTTTTACAAAAGTTCGGCATCAACCTCGCTTTGGGTTGTTTCGCTTAAAATCGTAAATTGTCGTTTACAACAAAAAGTTTAAGCGAAGAATGTGTGGCGCTCATAACTTTCTAAATTACAAAATTTCGAATGTAATGTTTTGATAAAAAAATATTCTTTATTCCATTCTCTATATTTCTCTCAAACATTATAGCGGTCTCACACTTTTAAAGCATTGTTTTTGGCTCTCAAAGTTGGAAGTTTGTGGAAACACGTTCTAAACTAAAAATGTGAAGATCGCTTAGTAAAAATGATCAATAGAGGAAAAAAAGGAAAAGTAAACGCCTCAAACTGGAAAGACAATAAAAATAAAAGGATAAGCAATAGTGGAAAAAGTTATGCCGCCACAAAATGTCAAGTGGTTTCATCAAAAAGTGTTTCTGAACAGGTTTCTTGAAAAACGTTCTAACTGTAATTTCGTACTATTTATATTTATTATTTTTAATAATTTAGTTGGCGACTTGTAAATGTAAATTTAATTGTCGTGAACTTGCAAAAATTAAAATGAATTCGCTCTTCACTAAATTCTACAATTTAGTTTGCTATTTTTTATTGTAAATTAATTTAATTTCGTTTAAATAAAAAAAAATTTTTTTTTGGAAATTTTTGATATTATTGCATTTGTATGGAAAACTCAATTTGTGACGTTTACGTAAGCTATTGATTACGATCCATATACACAATGTATTTTTATTTTATAATGCGTCTATATATAATTAGGTAACTCGTAAACCATACGATTTCAATGGAAAACTTCTCAGGTTCGAACCCTGAAAAATGAAAATTGTCAAATGAATATTTTTACTGTGGACTTTATTTTTAGCACTTCTCCAGAAATTTTTTGAAAAACGTGCTTATTACTTTCACTCTGTCCGTCCATATGGACATTTTTAGTTCACAAAACTTCTACACTCTTGAAGATAGAAAGCTTAAATTTTATATGTATATAGATCTTTACTAGAAACTTATTTCCATAGAACAAAATCTACCTATCTCAGTCCCCCTAAAAGTTATACTCCC